ATATTCATCTCCAAACCACGGTGAAACCCGACAAGAACATCTCTGCCAATTCCATTCGCACAAGCTAAACTGCCAGGACTGAGTCCTTCTATCCAAACCAAGCTAAGCAAGCTGTCAGAACTCAAGAACTTTGCTGCACAATGCTTGTAAAGGCTCATTACCTTGAACACATACGAGGAATTAATCATATCCTTACCATACCGATTCGGTCTACTATCAAGCTACTCCATCTATCTAATTTCCCTTCTGATTCATCATCAACTTGATATTTCTCCCTTGCTGTAGCATCACAATGCCTCAATCCAGGCTTACCACACGAGACACGAACATAAGACCACACTGTCTTAGACCCATAGGCCACCGAATACTCTCTTTGCTATCCCCAGAAATACCACACTCCAGAATATTTTACTTGAAGAACTCCCTGCGAATCTGAATTCATTACCATTACCTTCCAGATACCGATACATAGAACCCCATAATCATCATAAAAAATACCACCAGTCTCGATATTTTCCGATGAAAACACGGTCTCTGACCACATACACAATCTTGAGACACCTGATTGTTACATGTAGAATCTTGAACACGATAAAACCATTCTCGAGAGTCATTTTATTCAAACTGCAAATTACCTGACTTAACGAACAGAACCACTCGTACCTTATTGGCACTCCGATACCGCAAAAATGAGATCCTCATCCTAATACAACCAAGCAACTTCCTGCTCTATGCACCGAGCATTCTTTACCAACAACAACTTTAGACATTCCGTGATTCTCATATCCTATGGAACATAATATAACCTTTGTCAAAATTTTTTTTTTCTTTTACTCTAGCCATAGCTGGCTCGCCCGCACGCTCCAACTGAAGCCAACACAGCACATGCCCGTGCAATCAGCTAATCAATAGCACCCTCCCCAACTTGGCTCGAAGCCATATATCAGGACACACTCAACAACTCATGACACTTTTACTCTAATGATGCCGCAATATCATAGTGAGATTAAACTCAAATCATCTACTAGTTGTGAAAACTCAGATCGTCTAGTACTGTAATCCTCTGCAACCTCGTATTCATCCCCACATCAGTTGAGTCCACCCTTTTAAGCGACCCGAATTCTTTTTTGAATTTCAACACGCACCCTTCAGTTACACATAAGATCTTCTAACATACACATAAGGATCATACCACTTAAGAACACTCCGCAGGAGATAATCCACCTGCTTTGCCTCAATTTAGTATTTCAGCATACCTTCCACCGTCATATCCATTACACAGTCATTTAGTCTTTCCTGGGTCTGAACTCATACAACCACATGAAATGCACTACACTCCCCAACTAGGAGACACGATAATATTCTTCACACGTGCCACACATCAAATCACAATAGGAAACGAACGCTTAACAACTCATCTATTAACCAGCAGACTTCTTCGTCACTACCAAGTCATATAGACACATCTCGCAGTACTAACATACTCATCACATGGATATCCAACCACCATTCCGGCTAATAGGGACAATACCGAACATGAAAGTTCAAAACACTTGCTCGCACAATCAGCACCTCGGTGCTCAAGCAATAGGCAAAGATCCAGCCTCAAGTCCTCCAGACTGGCCTAACATACTCATGAAGCTCACATCTCGCCCCTCGATCCGGGAATCACAAATCATCAAGGCACATATAATACTGAGCGCTCAAGTGCGCATACAGACGTGTGGAAGGAATTTCAAGAGTTGCATCTCAAGCTGAATTAAGTACCCACGATAAGAATTCCAAGAAAGTGAAGTTTTCCTAAAGGTTCTGCAGCCTCTCAAGGATAAATACAGACGTCTCCGTACCGATCCGCGAGACTCTACTAAACCTGCTCATGACTCGTGAGACCTAGTAACCTAGGCTCTGATACCAACTTGTCACGACCCAATTTCCAACCCGGTCGTGATGGCGCCTCTCGTGAAGACAAGGCCAGCCAACTACCCCAAATCGTCTCTTTAACAATTATTAAACATAAATGAATAGATAAATACAGCTTAACGACAATAATAACTAGTATTTACAACCCAACACAACCCGATCAGGGTGTCACAAGTCACGAGCATCTAGAGAAGTCTAAATACAACTACAGGGCCAACAATATGCGGAATAAAATTTAGAACCAAAGGGAGTAATCCGGTGCAGCGAACGCTGGCGGTCACTCTGCTCAGCTACGATAGCAATACCTTCAACCAGCTCAAAACCCACTACCGGGTGAACAATACCTGCATCTGCACGCGAGGTGCAGGGAGTAAAGTGAGTACTCCAACCCAGTGAGCAATAAAAATGAATAACGGCTGAGAATATAAAATCCCACACAGGCACAGATAATGCTAACTCAAACAGTAAAATAAGGTAAACAGTAGGAACCAGTGAAACATAGCGAGGAATTCTCTTTGAAAACAATTAATAAAACAAGTATGCTCAAGTATGGTCAGTCATTGTCACCTGACCGGTCAGCCATTGTTACCTGACCCAACGCGTGTTTCAGTGCCATTATTACCACTGGTCAGCCATTGTTACCTGACTGGTCAGCCATTGTTACCTGACTGGTCAGCCATTGTTACCTGACTAACCGCGTGTTTCAGTGCCATTGTTACCACTGGTCAGCCATTGTTACCTGACTGGTCAGCCATTGTTACCTGACCCAACGCGTGTTTCAGTGCCATTGTTACCACTGGTCAGCTATTGTTACCTGACTGATCAGTCATTGTTACCTGACCAAAACACGTGTGACAGTGTCATTGTTACCACTGTCCAATTCTAAATGGGTACCCGTGCTCACTGTGGGTGTGCAGACTCCGGAGGGGCTCCTACAGCCCAAGCGCTATCAACAAGGCCTGAAAGCCTGAACAGTATCAATACGAGGCCTGAAAGCCTCCTCACCTCACTCATCATGCCCTCACATAAGGCCCTCGGCCTCAATCAGTCCAGAAATAGTCAACAGCCCCTCGGGCAGCAGTAAAGCAATAATACTCAGCTCAAACAATAGTTCAAATATCAGTTTTAAACTCAAGTTTGAGTAAATATGGCTGAGTTCATGAAACAGTGTAATTCACATGGACTGAGTTCAAATAATATTTCAAACAGTGAGGAAAACAGTGATGATAGTTCATAAAGAGTTCAAACAGTCGGCAATAAGCCCCAAATATGGCAATAAGCGCAAATCATATTGAAAACAACAAGTCATTGCTAATACGCGGTAAAATATCATCCGGACTGGACCAAGTCACAGTCCCCAATAGTAAATGACCCCGCGCTCGTCATGGAACGCGTGTTCATCTCAACATAGCACCAAGTTGTGCAAATCCGAGGTTTCAAACCCTCAGGACGTCATTCAAAATCATTACTCACCTCGAACCGGTGAAATCTCTAGCTCGCGACGCCTTTGCCCCTCAAACCGACCTCCACGCGCATCGAATCTAACCAAAACCACAAGGAATACGTCACGATAGGCTAATGAATCATAACCCAATCGAAAAGACTCGAAAAATATCAAAAATCACGAAGTTGGCAAAACCCGAGCCCCGGGCCCACTTCTCGAAAAATTACAAAATTCACATCACCGGATTCCTCGTCTCGCCACGAGTCTGTACATATCAAATTTACCAAAATCGGAGTCCAATTGACCCCTCAAATCCCTATTTTAAACTCTCTTAAGTTCAAGCCCTAAACCACCATTTTTGACCTTTGATTCCTTGATTATTCAGTCTAAATCCATGTTTTTACACCATAAAATCGTATTCTAAGTCCAAGAATCCATACCTGATTAAAGCCCTCGAAACCCTCTTCAAAATCGCCTCAAAGTTCTCAAGGTTCGGAGTCCAAAATGTTGTTCTTTCAAAAAATTCGCGAAGAAGATAAATCTCACTTAACTGCCAGCCATTCCGCTTCTGCGGATATATTACCGCTTCTGCGACTTCCGCATATGCGGTCCACGTCCGCTTCTGCGGACTTTTCACTTAAGGCACCCACCGCTTCTGTGGTCCCTAATTCGCTTCAGCGGGACCGCCTATGCGGTCAAATCTTTCGCTCCTGCGGACTCAGACAAGGTCCCATAATTCCGCTTCTGCGAGGCCCAGCTCGCTTCTGCGAGACCGCACCTGCGGTCCAATAGCCGCAGGTGCGAAAACACCAGATACCAGCAATATGAAACATGCAACAACTCCAAAAACTCTCCGTTTAACCATCCGTACTCACCCCGAGGCCCCCGGGACCTCAACCAAAAGCACCAATACATCCTAAAACCTCATTCAAACTTGTTCCAATCATCAAAACACATCAAACAACGCCAAAACCACTAAATCACATCGGATTCAAGCCTAAGTTCTTCAAAAACTTCCGAAACACGCATTTGATCAAAAACCCGACCGAAACACCTCTGAATGACCTGAAATTTTGCACACACATCACAAATCACATATCGAAGCTACATCAACTCTACCCTCGGATCAAAATCTCACCTATCAACCGGAATTCGCCAAAATACTAACTTCGCCAATTCAAGCCTAATTCTACACTGGACCTCCAAAATCAAATCCGATCGCACTCCTTTAGTCACAAATCATCCCCCGAAGCTAACCGAATCACCGGAAATCACATCCGAGCCCTCTAACTCAATAGTCAACATTAGGTTGACTTTTCCAACTTAAGCTTTCCTTAAAGAGACTAAGTGTCTCATTTCTTATCAAAACCAATCCAAATCAACTCTAACACACCACATACCGATAATGAAACATGAAGAAGCATGAAATGGGGGAAACGGAGTAATAACACATGAGACGACGGGTCGGGTCGTCACATGCAGAGGCGGATCTAGGAATTGAAGTGTATAGGTTCCTACCACAACTTCAAGTCAATATATCATAACAGTCGAACTAAGAAACAAGTATCAATATTCAACGTATGTTTACAAAATAACAAAATACTTAAAGACAACATATAAATTATAAATATTCTCATCACAATTGTACTCGACGACTTGTCATGTTTTGAAAATGATCAATGATCATATCATTAGGTACACTTTCAAATACTTCATCCTCTATATAACAAACTAAACAATCATTCAAAAATTCATCACCGATTCTGCTTCGCAAGTCACTTTTAACGTACTTCATCGAAGAAAAAGCCCTTTCCACCGTTGCAGTAGCGACAGGCAATATCAAACTTAACTTCACAAGCAAATAAACAAGTCTCCAAGTCATGTGCAAATTTGTTTTAACCATTGTCTCTGAAAGATCTCCAAGGCTTTTCAAGTTAGAGAATTCATTGTCCGCCTCTCGCACATAATCAATATAGATGTCAAGCTCAAAACCAAGATCCTCAAGTATAGAATTAGTAAACTCATCCGGATAGTGTGTTGCAAGTTTCATAATCCTGTCTTTATCATTATTTGCAAAAGAATTATCTGGACTCAAACTAGCCATACCAAGAAGTAGATCAGTATTCACTTCACTGAAACGACTATTAAGCTCCGAAAGTTGCAAATCAATAACAGTATAGAAAACCTCTACACGCAAATGATAAGAATATGTAACACTTGATTTCTTACGCTTCGACTTTCCACGATAATAATTCATAT